CGCTGCACTAAACGCTCCAGAAGGTAGAAGCGCCACGTTGGCTCCACCTCAGCGTCGGGTCTGAAGATAGGAAGCCAAAATCGGGCTTTGATGTATTTAGATTTTTTATAAATCCTCCTTTCATTGCGATTATCAGATTTTCGACGTTTTTGTCCCTGAGCCCGGTTTTTGAGCTTTTGCCCTCAGACCACCTACGTTGATGGGCGGAGTCAACGTTGCGCTTCTACCCTCTGAAGCGGTATTTCTGATTCGGAATTCATCTTTTTCAGCGAGGCTCGGGCGATGGCTTACTTAGGGTGTGCCAGACTGTGGCGGCGTATGCGGCGTACACATACGTCGCCGCAGTCTGGCAGCACCCTTAGAGCCTCTCCATTACACGGCATCAAAACCTCATCACCCTTAATTTGGATGAACGGTGCCTTTAAGTGACGAATCTCAGCATTTGTACTGTCTTTTCGAATTTCTGTGAGCGTAATGTACCGTAGGTGTGCGATGATGTCTTCTTAGTATTGCTGCAATTAACGATGCGCAAGAGACAATCAAATGAAGAGTGCACACCTATCTGTTCTATATGATGATATTTCATGCATTTTTGATTCTAGGTATTGAGGACGGCGGAGTACTCGCCTTTTGTAGTTTTTATCGCCGCTCCGAACCTACAGGGTTTGCAAGATGTAAGCTTGATTGCCTCATTTTCCTTCTCGGAAAGACATAATTTAGCCTGATGGTAGCCTGGAGAGACTTCTGCGGGAATCTGAAATACTTCGGCAGGCATTCGGTCATCTGTTTGACTATGTCATAGTCAATAATGATATAGATGAAACGATAGTTCAATTGGAGCAGATCGCGGAGAAGCTTCCAGTCTGCCCGCAATGGTTGCCAGTTTCATGGGTATACTGATCGGCATGGTCTCCAAGACTTGCGCCGTGGAGCCGTACCATTATGGTCCTTCGGTTACGGGCTCTAAACTAGAGTAATTTGTTCATGAATTTGTGCCCTCTCAAGCTATGTCTGTCCTGTGATCTTAAACATTCCCAGCTCAACATCATTTTTATAGCATTTATCCACATTCAATTCACTATGCCGTCACCATTCAGCAACATTGCCTCTCCAGCTTTAAATTTTTGTTTATAAAAGTAACTAGTCAGTTGTTGCTTTTGACAGGACTTTGATATCTCGCACAGGAGCTTACCAATGTACAGTTATAAGCTTCTTGGTGCTTCTTGTCAATTTCCTTGCAGTCGCCTTCTAGATTTCATGTTTGCAGTATCAGTTGCATGGATAGGAATCTCTTAATTCCACTAAGTGTCCTTGATCGATGTCTGCATTAATTGTTCAATAAAGAGGTTCTACTTTCTCTTTCACTCACTTTAATTCATAGCTGTTGTTTCCGCTCTTAGCGACGACTTACTTTAAATCACCCATATCACCTCTAACATCCTTTACTTTTGTTCAATGAACAGGCGGTTGTTTGAGAAACTCCTTATCGTCTTTGGATGTGAATTAGGCTTGCATTTGTGACGCACTTTTCCAATTTCTAGCAAATCTTATTTGGACCAGAAGCAACACATCCTATGCTATTACAAGTGTTATGATTATGCTGTGCGTAATAAACCTTCATTTGTACGCCGGAATCCGCATGCTTGCTTTATCGTAAGCTTTTGGCGTAGTGCATAATATCTAATTGTTCTCGCATCCAGCGTCCTTCTCTGCATCAGCTATTGTAGGGTATTTTCAACACAACTTCGCTGGATATCTTCCAGGAAGGAAAGTGATTGAAAAGAGGTCCGGCTAATTATGCATAAATCTTGGTAAAAAGCAAGTAGTATTGATAGTCTGATTCTTGCCATAATCGTTTTACGATGGCTGCCACATTAGTAAATGTTGTGGTGCTGTCCACTACAGATATCTTTTGTCATTTTGACGTTTGAAGATCTTTGCATTCTATTTAAAGGCAGTGGCTTGGCAAATTTCAACCTAGTCAAATTTTCGCTTACATAGGGTCATCCAGGGCGCTGATCTCGAAAATCCATTTTAGAGAGCTTGAAAACGGCGAAAACGAGCGTTTTCTATGACCTTCGCTTTGAAATTGGACGAGTGGAGCAAGGATTATGACGTTGGATCGTTCCGGGACCCAATGGTTATAGTTATAGCATAGCGGCGGGCAGCCTCCAATTCTGCTCAAATATTCGTGGTTAACTCGCGCGCATCAAAACTTATGTAGCGACAGATCAACTGCGCAACTTAACCAAACTTGTCGCGAGAGGTTCGGGGACAACGGCGTTTTGATCAGGTTGCTATGCGAGACAAGTTATTCTCCCGCGTGCAAGGAGAAAACCCAAGATCTAGCGCGAGACCCAGCATTCTCCCGCATTCATGCATGTCGGGAAAAAATGCGA